GAACGTGAAGAACCAGTGGCATCTACATCTACAGAACGTGAAGAACCAGTGGCATCTACAGAACGTGAAGAACCAGTGGCATCTACAGAACGTTAAGAACCAGTGGCATCTACAGAATGTGAAGAACCAGTGGCATCTACAGAACGTGAAGAACCAGTGGCATCTATATCTACAGAACGTGAAGAACTAGTGGTATCTACATCTACAGAACGTGAAGAACCAGTGGCATCTACAGAACGTGAAGAACCAGTGGCATCTACATCTACAGAACGTGAAGAACCAGTGGCATCTACAGAACGTGAAGAGCCAGTGGCATCTACATCTACAGAACGTGAAGAACCTGCGGCATCTACAGAACGTGAAGAACCAGTGGCATCTACATCTACAGAACGTGAAAAACCAGTGGCATCTACATCTACAGAACGTGAAGAACCAGTGGCATCTACACCTACATAACGTGAAGAACCAGTAGCATCTACATCTACAGAACGTGAAGAACCAGTGACATCTACATCTACAGAACGTGAAGAACCAGTGGCATCTACAGAACGTGAAGAACCAGTGGCGTCTACATCTACAGAATGTGAAGAACCAGTGACATCTACATCTACAGAACGTGAGGAACAAGTGGCATCTACAGAACGTGAAGAACCAGTGGAATCTACATCTACAGAACGTGAAGAACCAGTGGCATCTACATCTACAGAACGTGAAGAACCAGTGACATCTACATCTACAGAACGTGAAGAACCAGTGGCATCTACAGAACGGGAAGAATCAGTGGCATCTACAGAACGTGAAGAACCAGCGGCATCTACATCTACAGAACGTGAAGAACCAGTGGCATCTACATCTGCAGAACGTGAAGAACCAGTGGCATCTAAATCTACAGAATGTGAAGAAACAGTGGCATCTACATCTGCAGAACGTGAAGAACCAGTGGCATCTACATCTACAGAACGTGAAGAACCAGTGGCATCTACATCTGCTGATTGCAGCTCAGGCACGTGGCTGATATCATCATCGTCACGGGGACATTTATAGCAGCGGCCCATATAGTCTCAGCACTCACTCAGCCACTCATCCACTCACTCAGCCACCCACACACTCACCCACCCACACACCCACCCACACACTCACCCACCCACTCACTCACCAACTCACCCACACACCCACCCACACACTCACCCACCCACTCACTCACTCACCCACTCACTCACTCAGCCACCCACCCACACACCCACCCACACACTCACCCACTCACCCACACACCCACCCACACACTCACCCACCCACCCACTCACTCACCCACACACCCACCCACACACTCACCCACCCACTCACTCACCCACTCACCCACACACCCACCCACACACTCACCCACCCACTCACTCACTCACCCACTCACTCACTCAGCCACCCACCCACACACCCACCCACACACTCACCCACTCACCCACACACCCACCCACACACTCACCCACCCACTTACTCAGCCATCCACCCACACACACACTTACCCACCCACTCACACAGTCATCCACCCACACACTCACCCACCCACACACCCACCCACTCACTCAGCCACCCACACACCCACACACCCACCCACACACCCACACACTCACCCACCCACACACCCACTCACACACACTCACACAGTCATCCATCCACACACTCACCCACCCACCCACACACTCACCCACCCACTCACTCTGCCACCCACTCACACACCCACTCACACAGTCATCCACCCACACACTCACCCACTCACTCACTCAGCCACCCACCCACACATCCACCCACACACTCACCCACCAACACACTCACCCACTCACCCACCCACTCACTCAGCCACCCACCCACCCACTCACTCACCCACTCACTCACTCAGCCACCCACCCACACACCCACCCACACACTCACCCACCCACTCACACAGCCATCCACCCACACACTCACCCACCCACACACACAGTCATCCACCCACACACTCACCCACCCAGCCACACACTCACCCACCCAGCCACACACTCACCCACCCAGCCACACACTGACCCACCCACCCACTCACCCACCCACGTATTTATGTTACCAGCTGTAGGGCCCCACTGAGCTACTGTGTAGGAGATCTTTCACAGAAGCGACCTGGCCCATTACAGATTATAGCAGCTCACACACCATCATCACCATCATCACCACCACCATCATCATCACCACCATCACCATCATCACCACCATCACCATCATCACCATCATCACCACCACCATCATCACCATCATCACCACCATCATCATCATCACCACCATCACCATCATCACCATCATCACCACCACCATCATCATCATCACCACCATCATCATCACCACCACGATCACCACCATCACCACCATCATCACCACAAACACAGATGATAGCAGCACACACTCACACATCATCATCACCATCACCACCATCATCACCATCATCACCATCACCACCATCACAGATTATAGCAGCTCACACTCACACACCATCATCATCACTATCACCACCATCATCACCATCATCACCACCATCATCATCACCACCATCACCATCATCACAGATTATAGCAGCTCACACTCACACACCATCATCATCATCACCACCATCACCATCATCACAGATGATAGCAGCGCACACACACACACCACCATCACCATCATTACCATCATCACAGATCATAGCAGCTCAGCCATGTGGCTGATATCATCATCGTCATCGTGTGGACATTTGCAGCAGTAGCCAAATGCTCTGAACGCGTGGTTCTAAATGTGGAGGGACAAGCCTGTGGACCCGGAGAAAGATCCACTCAACCACCACGGGGAGAGAGAGTGAGAGAGAAATCTACAGCAGCAGCAGACATCGTCAGGGTCACGGGATCGAACCCACGATCTCCTGCACACCAGGCGAGGTAGTCAACATCTCTAGCCACCGTGATGATGATGAGAGAGAGACGCAGACTCCACATATACCTCCTGTAGACCAGGCGAGGTAGTCAACATCTCATAGCCACTGTGATGATGATGATGATGATGAGAGAGACACAGACTCCACATACACCTCCTGTATACCAGGCGAGGTAGTCAACATCTCATAGCCACTGTGATGATGATGAGAGAGAGACGCAGACTCCACATAGACCTCCTGTAGACCAGGCGAGGTAGTCAACATCTCTAGCCACCGTGATGATGATGAGAGGGAGACGCAGACTCCACATAGACCTCCTGTATACCAGGCGAGGTAGTCAACATCTCTAGCCACCGTGATGATGATGAGAGAGAGACGCAGACTCCACATAGACCTCCTGTAGTCAACGCGAGGTAGTCAACATCTCATAGCCACCGTGATTATAATGAGAGAGACACAGACTCCACATAGACCTCCTGTAGACCAGGCGAGGTAGTCAACATCTCATAGCCACCGTGATGATGATGAGAGAGAGACAGCGACTCCACATAGACCTCCTGTAGACCAGGCGAGGTAGTCAACAGCTCATAGCCACCGTGATGATGATGAGAGGGAGACGCAGACTCCAAATCTACAGCAGCAGCAGGTGTCAAGGTCAGGATCGAACCCACGACCTCCTGCACATCAGGCGAGGTAGTCAACAGCTGGAGTAGCCCTGGCAGGTGACGTCACAGGGGTGTACCCCCCCCACCACCACCAACCCCCCTCTCCAATCACTCCTCTTCGCCCACATTGAAATCCTCAAACCCCATTGGCTGTAGCAGCGACACAGTAGGTGACGTCACGCGACTTCCTATCGCCCGGCCCTACCCAACATGGTTGCCAGAGACATCACGCGACTTCCTCTCCCTACCAAACATGGCGGCCATGGCGTCACGTGACTTTGTTTTTCCGACCGAACATGGCTGCCATTCCTTTCAAATATTTCTTGCCGTTGGGTTTCACACCTGATGATGACTGCTTGTGATGCAGTCGAAACGTCGTGACAATTTTATTGTGTCATATTTTTTTATTATTATCTTATTGTTTCCCTTCAACGTTACTTCACCGAAAGAACCAAGAATATGGCTGTCAGTTTCATTTAATTTCAATTTTCATGTATTAGGTAAAGATCCCTGTGAGCCATTCGGCTCTTGAATCGGGTGCAACCACAACAAACAATAAACAAAAACACGAACAAGAACAACATCTTAAAGTGACTTTGTGTGACTGTGCAAACAGAAAATCCAGGAAAAAAGCAGAAAAATATTCCTGAAATAGCACCGTACACCAACGCTGTGTTCAAAAATCCCAGTGGGATGCAAGTCAAACAACAACAACAACAACCACAAGACAACTTAGATTAAGGCCATCAGTCTAACTCCGTTACTACAATGTCAGAGAGTCACGTGGCTTTTTTCCCTTCCTACTCAACATGGCTGCGAAGACGTCTATTATTGACTTCGTCCCTCCCCAACATGGCTGCCAGAGAGTCACGTGACTTCGTCGCCCCGACTCAACATGGCTACCAGAGAATCACGTGACACATTGCTCCCTCCTCAACATGGCTGCCAAATACGTCACATGACTTTGTCCCCCTACCCAACGTGGCTGTCAAAGTCACGTAACTTTATAACCCCACACAAGCATGGCTGCCAGAGAGTCACGTGCCTTTAACCCCCCTCCCTCGAATATGGCTGGTAACGAAGTCACGTGACTTCCTCCACTTCCGCCCGGTGGCACAGCGTGGACACCGCACACGTGTGTGTACAGTGCAGAGAGACAGAGACACAGAGACAGAGACACAGAGACAGAGACACAGAGACAGAGACACACATAGAGACACAGAGACACACATAGAGACACAGAGACACACATAGAGACACAGAGACACACAGAGAGACACAGAGACACACACAGAGACAGAGAGAGACACAGAGACAGAGAGACACAGAGACACAGAGACAGAGAGACACAGAGACACACACAGAGACAAAGAGAGACAGAGACACACAGAGACAAACAGAGACAGAGACACACACAGAGACAGAGAGAGACACAGAGACAAACAGAGACAGAGACACACACAGAGAGAGACAGAGAGACGATGGGGAAAGACAAGAAGAAGAAGAGGAAGGCAACAGGAGGAGGGCAGAAGGCGATCGACAAGAATGTCGCCAAGATGGAGAAGAAAGTGAGCAAGAATTCGCGTCGTGACGAGGTGAGCCGAGTGCCGGGGGACATCGCGACGCGTCACCTGCCTCGATCCTCCTCTTAGCCTCCCCTAGCGAGAGAAGCGGGGACCCAGACCCAGGGATTGAACCCAGACTCTCAGTGTCTCTGGCTTAGTGAACCCCACTGAGAGAGAAAGACACCCAGACCCAGGGATTGAACCCAGACTCTCAGTGTCTCTGGCTTAGTGAACCCCACTGAGAGAGAGACACCCAGACCCAGGGATTGAACCCAGACTCTCAGTGTCTCTGGCTTAGTGAACCCCACTGAGAGAGAGAGACACCCAGACCCAGGGATTGAACCCAGACTCTCGGTGTATCTGGCTTAGTGAACCCCACTGAGAGAGAGAGACACCCAGACCCAGGGATTGAACCCAGACTCTCAGTGTCCCTGACTTAGTGAACCCCACTGAGAGAGAGACACCCAGACCCAGGGATTGAACCCAGACCCTCAGTGTCTCTGGCTTAGTGAACCCCACTGAGAGAGCCACCCAGACCCAGGGATTGAACCCAGACTCTCAGTGTCTCTGGCTTAGTGAACTCCACTGAGAGAGAGACACCCAGACCCAGGGATTGAACCCAGACTCTCAGTGTCTCTGGCTTAGTGAACCCCCTGAGAGAGAGAGAGACACCCAGACCCAGGGATTGAACCCAGACTCTCAGTGTCTCTGGCTTAGTGAACCCCACAGAGAGAGAGAGACACCCAGACCGAGGGAGTGAACCCAGACTCTCAGTGTATCTGGCTTAGTGAACCCCACTGAGAGAGAAAGAGACCCAGACCCAGGGAGTGAACCCAGACTCTCAGTGTCTCTGGCTTAGTGAACCCCACTGAGAGAGAGACACCCAGACCCAGGGATTGAACCCAGACACTCAGTGTCCCTGGCTTAGTGAACGCCACTGAGAGAGAGACCCAGACCCAGGGATTGAACCCAGACCCTCAGTGTCTCTGGCTTAGTGAACCCCACTGAGAGAGAGACCCAGACCCAGGGATTGAACCCAGACCCTCAGTGTCTCTGGCTTAGTGAACCCCACTGAGAGAGAGAGACACCCAGACCCAGGGAGTGAACCCAGAGTCTCAGTGTCTCTGGCTTAGTGAACCCCACTGAGAGAGAGACACCCAGACCCAGGGATTGAACCCAGACCCTCAGTGTCTCTGGCTTAGTGAACCCCACTGAGAGAGAGAAACCCAGACCCAGGGAGTGAACCCAGACCCTCAGTGTCTCTGGCTTAGTGAACCCCACTGAGAGAGAGAGACACCCAGACCCAGGGAGTGAACCCAGACCCTCAGTGTCTCTGGCTTAGTGAACCCCACTGAGAGAGAGACACCCAGACCCAGGGATTGAACCCAGACTCTCAGTGTCTCTGGCTTAGTGAACCCCACTGAGAGAGAGACCCAGACCCAGGGATTGAACCCAGACCCTCAGTGTCTCTGGCTTAGTGAACCCCACTGAGAGAGAGAGACCCAGACCCAGGGAGTGAACCCAGACCCTCAGTGTCTCTGGCTTAGTGAACCCCACTGAGAGAGAGACACCCAGACCCAGGGAGTGAACCCAGACCCTCAGTGTCTCTGGCTTAGTGAACCCCACTGAGAGAGAGAGACACCCAGACCCAGGGATTGAACCCAGACTCTCAGTGTCTCTGGCTTAGTGAACCCCACTGAGAGAGAGACACCCAGACCCAGGGATTGAACCCAGACCCTCAGTGTCTCTGGCTTAGTGAACCCCACTGAGAGAGCCACCCAGACCCAGGGATTGAACCCAGACTCTCAGTGTCTCTGGCTTAGTGAACTCCACTGAGAGAGAGACACCCAGACCCAGGGATTGAACCCAGACTCTCAGTGTCTCTGGCTTAGTGAACCCCCTGAGAGAGAGAGAGACACCCAGACCCAGGGATTGAACCCAGACTCTCAGTGTCTCTGGCTTAGTGAACCCCACTGAGAGAGAGAGACACCCAGACCCAGGGAGTGAACCCAGACTCTCAGTGTATCTGGCTTAGTGAACCCCACTGAGAGAGAAAGAGACCCAGACCCAGGGAGTGAACCCAGACTCTCAGTGTCTCTGGCTTAGTGAACCCCACTGAGAGAGAGACACCCAGACCCAGGGATTGAACCCAGACCCTCAGTGTCCCTGGCTTAGTGAACGCCACTGAGAGAGAGACCCAGACCCAGGGATTGAACCCAGACCCTCAGTGTCTCTGGCTTAGTGAACCCCACTGAGAGAGAGACCCAGACCCAGGGATTGAACCCAGACCCTCAGTGTCTCTGGCTTAGTGAACCCCACTGAGAGAGAGAGACACCCAGACCCAGGGAGTGAACCCAGAGTCTCAGTGTCTCTGGCTTAGTGAACCCCACTGAGAGAGAGACACCCAGACCCAGGGAGTGAACCCAGACCCTCAGTGTCTCTGGCTTAGTGAACCCCACTGAGAGAGAGAGACACCCAGACCCAGGGATTGAACCCAGACTCTCAGTGTCTCTGGCTTAGTGAACCCCACTGAGAGAGAGACACCCAGACCCAGGGATTGAACCCAGACCCTCAGTGTCTCTGGCTTAGTGAACCCCACTGAGAGAGCCACCCAGACCCAGGGATTGAACCCAGACTCTCAGTGTCTCTGGCTTAGTGAACTCCACTGAGAGAGAGACACCCAGACCCAGGGATTGAACCCAGACTCTCAGTGTCTCTGGCTTAGTGAACCCCCTGAGAGAGAGAGAGAGACACCCAGACCCAGGGATTGAACCCAGACTCTCAGTGTCTCTGGCTTAGTGAACCCCACTGAGAGAGAGAGACACCCAGACCCAGGGAGTGAACCCAGACTCTCAGTGTATCTGGCTTAGTGAACCCCACTGAGAGAGAAAGAGACCCAGACCCAGGGAGTGAACCCAGACTCTCAGTGTCTCTGGCTTAGTGAACCCCACTGAGAGAGAGACACCCAGACCCAGGGATTGAACCCAGACCCTCAGTGTCCCTGGCTTAGTGAACGCCACTGAGAGAGAGACCCAGACCCAGGGATTGAACCCAGACCCTCAGTGTCTCTGGCTTAGTGAACCCCACTGAGAGAGAGACCCAGACCCAGGGATTGAACCCAGACCCTCAGTGTCTCTGGCTTAGTGAACCCCACTGAGAGAGAGAGACACCCAGACCCAGGGAGTGAACCCAGAGTCTCAGTGTCTCTGGCTTAGTGAACCCCACTGAGAGAGAGACACCCAGACCCAGGGATTGAACCCAGACCCTCAGTGTCTCTGGCTTAGTGAACCCCACTGAGAGAGAGACACCCAGACCCAGGGAGTGAACCCAGACCCTCAGTGTCTCTGGCTTAGTGAACCCCACTGAGAGAGAGAGACACCCAGACCCAGGGAGTGAACCCAGACCCTCAGTGTCTCTGGCTTAGTGAACCCCACTGAGAGAGAGACACCCAGACCCAGGGATTGAACCCAGAATCTCAGTGTCTCTGGCTTAGTGAACCCCACTGAGAGAGACACCCAGACCCAGGGATTGAACCCAGACCCTCAGTGTCTCTGGCTTAGTGAACCCCACTGAGAGAGAGACACCCAGACCCAGGGAGTGAACCCAGACTCTCAGTGTCTCTGGCTTAGTGAACCCCACTGAGAGAGAGACACCCAGACCCAGGGATTGAACCCAGACTCTCAGTGTCTCAGCCAGTTCTAATCGTTTCTGGGACTCCCCTCGGTCGACTCAGCCTCAAATGAGTACCTGGTGCTTTGTGTAGTAAATATCGCCACTGGGGAGACAAAGGCGGCCGGGCCTGGTGCTGGCCACCCACCCCCTCGTGTGCCACAGTGCCGGTAGCCTTCACTGCTGCTGCTACTAACAGCACTTGCCCCTACAGCCCTGCTAGAGGCTACACAGGGGACCTTTGTGTGTCTATAGGACACTGCTGCTACTAACAGCACTTGCCCCTACAGCCCTGCTAGAGGCTACACGGGGCACCTTTGTCTGTGTCTATAGACACTGCTGCTGCTAACAGCACTTGCCCCTACACCCTGCTAGAGGCTACACGGGGGACTTTTGTCTGTGTGTCTATAGGACACTGCTGCTGCTAACAGCACTTGCCCCTACACCCTGATGGAGGCTACACGGGGGACCTTTGTCTGTGTGTCTATAGGCACTGCTGCTGCTAACAGCACTTGCCCCTACACCCTGATGGAGGCTACACGGGGGACCTTTGTTTGTGTGTCTATAGGCACTGCTGCTGCTAACAGCACTTGCCCCTACACCCTGATGGAGGCTACACGGGGCACCTTTGTCTTTGTCTGCAGGAGGACCTGGAGGCGCTGATTTCCGAGCTGCGGGCCCTGGATGCCAAGAAGACTCAAGTGGTGGACAACCCGTGCCCTGCCCCGTCTCCCAGGTGAGAGTCAAGTGGTGGACAACCCGTGCCCTGCCCCGTCTCCCAGGTGAGACTCAAGTGGTGGACAACCCGTGCCCTGCCCCGTCTCCCAGGTGAGAGTCAAGTGGTGGACAACCCGTGCCCTGCCCCGTCTCCCAGGTGAGACTCAAGTGGTGGACAACCCGTGCCCTGCCCCGTCTCCCAGGTGAGAGTCAAGTGGTGGACAACCCGTGCCCTGCCCCGTCTCCCAGGTGAGACTCAAGTGGTGGACAACCCGTGCCCTGCCGCGTCTCCCAGGTGAGAGTCAAGTGGTGGACAACCCGTGCCCTGCCCCGTCTCCCAGGTGAGACTCAAGTGGTGGACAACCCGTGCCCTGCCCCGTCTCGCAGGTGAGACTCAAGTGGTGGACAACCCGTGCCCTGCCCCGTCTCCCAGGTGAGACACAGGTGGTGGACAACCCGTGCCCTGCCCCGTCTCCCAGGTGAGACACAGGTGGTGGACAACCCGTGCCCTGCCCCGTCTCCCAGGTGAGACACAGGTGGTGGACAACCCGTGCCCTGCCCCGTCTCCCAGGTGAGACACAGGTGGTGGACAACCCGTGCCCTGCCCCGTCTCCCAGGTGAGACTCAAGTGGTGGACAACCCGTGCCCTGCCCCATCTCCCAGGTGAGACACAGGTGGTGGACAACCCGTGCCCTCCGTGTCTCAGGTGGTTGTTGTTAGTGAGTGTTATTAGTGAGTGTGGGTGTTGTTAGTGAGTGTTGTAAGTGAGTGTGGGTGTTGTTAGTGTGAGTGTTGTTAGTGAGTGTGGGTGGTGTTAGTGAGTGTGGGTGTTGTTAGTGTGAGTGTTAGTGTGTGTGGGTGTTATTAGTGAGTGTGGGTGTTGTTAGTGAGTGTGGGTGTTGTTAGTGAGTGTGGGTGGTGTTAGTGAGTGCGGGTGTTGTTAGTGAGTGTGGGTGTTGTTAGTGAGTGTGGGTGTTGTTAGTGAGTGTGGGTGTTGTTAGTGAGTGTGGGTGTTGTTAGTGAGTGTGGGTGTTGTTAGTGAGTGTGGGTGTTGTTAGTGTGAGTGGTGTTAGTGAGTGTGGGTGTTGTTAGTGAGTGTGGGTGTTGTTAGTGAGTGTGGGTGGTGTTAGTGAGTGTGGGTGTTGTTTGTTAGTGTGGGTGTTGTTAGTGAGTGTGGGTGTTGTTAGTGAGTGTGGGTGTTGTTAGTGAGTGTGGGTGTTGTTTGTTAGTGTGGGTGTTGTTAGTGAGTGTGGGTGTTGTTAGTGAGTGGGTGGTGTTAGTGAGTGTGGGTGGTGTTAGTGAGTGTGGGTGTTGTTAGTGAGTGTGAGTGTTGTTAGTGAGTGTGGGTGTTAGTGAGTGTGGGTGTTGTTAGTGAGTGTGAGTGTTGTTAGCGAGTGTGGGTGTTGTTAGTGAGTGTGGGTGTTGTTAGTGAGTGTGAGTGTTGTTAGCGAGTGTGGGTGTTAGCGAGTGTGGGGTGTTGACTGCCTGTTGTCCACCGTGGTGACGGTGTGGGTGTTAGTGAGTGTGGGTGTTGTTAGTGAGTGTGGGTGTTGTTAGTGAGTGTGGGTGTTGTTAGTGAGTGTGGGTGTTATTAGTGAGTGTGGGTGTTGTTAGTGAGTGTGGGTGCTGTTAGTGAGTGTGGGTGTTGTTAGTGAGTGTGGGTGTTGTTAGTGAGTGTGGGTGTTGTTAGTGAGTGTGGGTGCTGTTAGTGAGTGTGGGTGTTAGTGAGTGTATTGTTAGCGAGTGTGGGGTGTTGACTGCCTGTTGTCCACCGTGGTGACGGTGTGGGTGTTAGTGAGTGTGGGTGTTGTTAGTGAGTGTGGGTGTTGTTAGTGAGTGTGGGTGTTAGCGAGTGTGGGGTGTTGACTGCCTGTTGTCCACCGTGGTGAAGGTGTGGGTGTTGTTAGTGAGTGTGGGTGTTGTTAGTGAGTGTGAGTGTTGTTAGTGAGTGTGGGTGTTGTTAGTGAGTGTGAGTGTTAGCAAGTGTGGGGTGTTGACTGCCTGTTGTCCACCTTGGTGACGGTGTGGGTGTTAGTGAGTGTGGGTGTTGTTAGTGAGTGTGGGTGTTGTTAGTGAGTGTGGGTGTTGTTAGTGAGTGTGGGTGTTAGCGAGTGTGGGGTGTTGACTGCCTGTTATCCACCGTGGTGAAGGTGTGGGTGTTGTTAGTGAGTGTGAGTGTTGTTAGCGAGTGTGGGTGTTGGCGAGTGTAGGGTGTTGACTGCCTGTTGTCCACCGTGGTGACGGTGTGGGTGTTGTTAGCGAGTGTGGGTGTTGTTAGCGAGTGTGGAGTGTTGACTGCCTGTTGTCCACCGTGGTGACGGTGTGGGTGTTGTTAGCGAGTGTGGGTGTTGTTAGCGAGTGTGGGGTGTTGACTGCCTGTTGTCCACCGTGGTGACGGTGTTGTTGGGCTGTTGTCTCCCGTGCAGGGTGAACGCTTCTCTCGTTGCCCATCCGGAACGTGAGGAGCTGCTCCTCTTCGGCGGGGAATACTTCAACGGGCAGAAGGTGACAGCCCACTCTGTCTTCTGTGTGTACTGTGTGTGTACTGTGTGTGTACTGTGTGTGTGTGTGTGTACTGTGTGTGTGTACTGTGTGTGTACTGTGTGTGTGTCCTGTGTGTGTGTACTGTGTGTGTACTGTGTACTGTGTGTGTACTGTGTGTGTGTACTGTGTGTGTACTGTGTGTGTGTGTACTCTGTGTAGTGTGTACTGTGTGTGTGTGTACTGTGTACTGTGTGTGTAGTGTGTACTGTGTGTGTAGTGTGTACTGTGTGTGTACTGTGTACTGTGTGTGTACAGTGTGTGTGTGTACTGTGTGTGTACTGTGTGTGTGTGTACTGTGTGTGTACTGTGTGTGTAGTGTGTACTGTGTGTGTGTACTGTGTGTGTGTACTGTGTGTGTGTACTGTGTGTGTACTGTGTGTGTGTGTACTCTGTGTAGTGTGTACTGTGTGTGTACTGTGTGTGTGTGTACTCTGTGTAGTGTGTACTGTGTGTGTACTGTGTGTGTTTAGTGTGTGTACTGTGTGTAGTGTGTACTGTGTGTAGTGTGTACTGTGTGTGTACTGTGTGTAGTGTGTACTGTGTGTGTAGTGTGTGTGTGTACTGTGTGTGTGTACTGTGTGTGTGTACTGTGTGTGTGTACTGTGTGTGTACTGTGTGTGTGCTGTGGTGTACTGTGTGTGCTGTGTGTACTGTGTGTGTGTACTGTGTGTGTGTACTGTGTGTACTGTGTGTGTGTACTGTGTGTGTGTACTGTGTGTGTGTACTGTGTGTCTGTGTGTGTACTGTGTGTGTGTCACTGTGTGTCTGTGTGTGTACTGTGTGTGTGTCACTGTGTGTCACTGGCGATCCGGAGTCTGAGACCAGGAAAGGCACCAGGCAGAGATGATCTCCCAAGCGAAATGCTGAGGGAGAGTGGTGTTTGTGCACAGACTGCCCTACATGACATCATAACAACAATATGGACCACTGGACGGGTTTCGCAGGATTGGAAGGATGCCCTGGCGGTCCCCCTTTTTAAGAAGGGGGACCGCACAGACTGTAACAATTACAGGGGCATCTCACTCCTCAGTGCACCGGGAAAGGTCCTGGCAAGGATTATTCAACATCGCCTCGCCAGGCACGCTGAGGAGAGACTTGCGGAGCCCCAATGCGGTTTCAGGAAAGGGCGGTCCTGTACAGATGCCATATTTTATGTCCGTCTGCTACAGCAGAGGTGTAGGGAATTCCAGCAAGACCTACATCTCTGCTTTATTTACCTGGTCAAGGCTATGATACCATCAGTAGGCCTGGGCTCTGGGTTGTTCTTCGTGCTTTTGGAGTACCTGACCCTCTGCTCACGATCATTAAGGACCTTCATGATGGTGAGCGGGCCCGGGTAAAACTATGTGGCCGGGAATCAGAGCCATTCCCTGTACACCTTGGGGTGCGACAGGGATGTCCTCTGGCTCCCACATTATTTATCATCTATTTTGACCACGTAGTTCGTGAAGCCTTCAATAGCTGTACCGGGGGAATCTCCATATGGTACAGATATAATGGGAGGCTGATCGATGCCCGGGTGCAGTCAAGGGATGGCTCCCTATTGCTCAACCACGTTATGTATGCTGATGATTTGGTAATAGCTGCTCAGTCAGAGGAGGACTTGGAGACGCTGCTGCTGAGACTGGAGCGTGCCACTAAGAGGTGGGGCCTTACCATCAGCCCCACCAAAACTAAGCACCTGCCTGGGTATTTTGTACCATCGGACACTCCACCCCCACAACTCCCAATCGGTGATGGGGCAGTTGTGGAGAGAGTGGAGAGTTTCCCATACCTGGGCAGTGTGCTTATGACCGGCTCCAGTTTAACAGTGTGTACTGTGTGTATGTACTGTGTGTGTGTACTGTGTGTTTGTGTGTACTGTGTGTGTGTACTGTGTGTGTGCTGTGTGTGTGTGCTGTGTGTGTGTGCTGTGTGTGTGTACTGTGTGTACTGTGTGTGTACTGTGTGTGTACTGTGTGTGCTGTGTGTACTGTGTGTGTGTGTACTGTGTGTGCTCTGTGTGTGTGTGTGTAGTGTGTGTGTGTACTGTGTGTGTGTACTGTGTGTGCACTGTGTGTGTGCACTGTGTGTGTGTACTGTGTGTGTGTGCTGTGTGTGTGTGCTGTGTGTGTGTGCTGTGTGTGTGTGCTGTGTGTGTGTACTGTGTGTGTGTACTGTGTGTACTGTGTGTGTGTACTGTGTGTGTGTACTGTGTGTACTGTGTGTGTGCTGTGTGTGTGTACTGTGTGTGTGTACTGTGTGTACTGTCCATGTACTCTCCGTATGTGTAGTGCGTTCAACTGATTGGCAGCTGTAGACTTCGAGGCAACACATTCATTAAACTCCAACACACGGGGTGACCGCCCCTTAACAATCCTCGTGAGCACCCCGAGCCCCCTACTTGGGGGGCCCCCCCTGCGTAGGCTTGACAGGTCACGTGGCCTCAGGGGTCAACCAGAGCGCCACGACCCCCGGTGACCCCGGTCCTACGGCCGGCACTCCCAACCACCCTGCCCTGTAGGGGTCGGCACTGCACGCAGAGCCTCGTGGTGCCAGTGGTGTCGTCACACCGCATGGTGTGACCCCCTAGGGGGCGGTACCACACCCACACCCACGTGGTACCAGCGGTGTCATCACACCGCACGGTGTGACCCCCTAGGGGCAGCACCCACACCCACGTGGTGTCGTCACACCGCATGGTGTGACCCCTAGGGGGCGGCACCCACACCCACGTGGTGCCAGCGGTGTCGTCACACCGCACGGTGTGACCCCCTAGGGGCAGCACCCACACCCACGTGGTACCAGCGGTGTCGTCACACCGCTCGCCGTGACCCCCTAGGGGCGGCACTGCACACTGACATCCTGCGATGTCTCGACACATGTGCCCTGTGTGTGCTCTGCGTGTGCCCTGCGTGTGCCCTGCGTGTGCTGTACGTGTGCTGTACGTGTGCTGTACGTGTGCCCTGCGTGTGCTGTACGTGTGCTGTACGTGTGCTGTACGTGTGCTGTACGTGTGCCCTGTGTGTGCCCTGTGTGTGCCCTGCGTGTGCCCTGCGTGTGCTGTACGTGTGCTGTACGTGTGCCCTGTGTGTGCCCTGTGTGTGCCCTACGTGTGCTGTACGTGTGCTGTACGTGTGCTGTGCGTGTGCTGTGCGTGTGCCCTGCGTGTGCTGTACGTGTGCTGTACGTGTGCTGTACGTGTGCTGTGCGTGTGCCCTGCGTGTGCTGTACGTGTGCTGTACGTGTGCTGTACGTGTGCTCTGCGTGTGCCCTGTGTGTGCCCCACGTGTCCCAGACGTTCCTCTACAACGACCTGTTCGTCTACAGCATCCGCAAGAACGCGTGGAGCCACGTCCACATCCCCAACCCTCCCCCTCGCCGCTGCGCGCACCAGGTCAGCCGCTCCACCAGCTCGTGGTTGTGGTCGTCGTTGTGGTTGTTGTTGTGGTTGTTGTGGTCGTTGTGGTCGTTGTGGTTGTTGTCGTTGTGGTTGTTGTTGTTGTTGTTGTGGTTGTTGTTGTCGTCATTGTTGTTGTTGTGCGGGCAGGCGGTGGTGGTGCCACAGGGTGGTGGGCAGCTGTGGGTGTTTGGGGGCGAGTTTGCGTCGCCGGACGGAGAACGCTTCTACCACTACCGTGATCTATGGGTGCTCCACCTGGCACAGCGACGCTGGGAGGAGATCAGGTGAGTGGACGAGCGCTCACCCACACGCTCACCCACACGCTCACCCACCCGCTCACCCACTCACCCACACGCTCACCCACACGCTCACTCGCTCACCCACACGCTCACCCACATGCTCACTCGCTCACCCACACGCTCACCCGCACGCTCACCCACTCGCTCACCCACTCGCTCACCCACACGCTCGCTCACTCACCCACACGCTCACCCACTCACCCACACACACGCTCGCTCACCCACTCACCCACACGCTCACCCACACGCTCACTCGCTCACCCACACGCTCACCCACATGCTCACTCGCTCACCCACACGCTCACCCGCACGCTCACCCACTCGCTCACCCACTCGCTCACCCACACGCTCGCTCACTCACCCACACGCTCACCCACTCACCCACACACACGCTCGCTCACCCACACGCTCACCCGCTCACCCACACACACGCTCGCTCACCCACTCGCTCACCCACACGCTCACCCACACGCTCACCCACATGCTCACTCGCTCACCCACATGCTCACCCGCACGCTCACCCACTCGCTCACCCACTCGCTCACCCACACGCTCGCTCACTCACCCACACGCTCACCCACTCACCCACACACACGCTCACTCACCCACACGCTCACCCGCTCACCCACACACACGCTCGCTCACCCACTCGCTCACCCACACGCTCACCCACACGCTCACCGACACGCTCACTCGCTCACCCACTCGCTCACACGCTCACCTATTCGCTCACCCGCACACTCACCCACACGCTCACCCACTCGCTCACCCACACGCTCACCCACACGCTCACCCACTCACCCACACAACAACAACAACAGCCATTCGCCACTAAGTGGTGGTGACGTCACCACGACGCTTGTGCCAGGCCATGTGCACCGTGAGGCCACGTGAAGTGTCGAACGCCCGCTGGCAGGAGGTTACGGGGCAGACCCAGGTGCCACGGGTTGACTGACTGAGATGACTGGCTGATGCACCACCTGTGCCCCCTACTGTGCCAACCTGTAGTGCTTTAGCCACCCGGTGCTCCGCTCGTTGTTGTGAGCGTCGCTCTTCCTCCCTCCGTTGTTGTTGGAGGGCGACTGCCTCCAACTGCCCAGTAGCGTCCTTCACGAGCCTCCTCCACAGAGGCCGATCTTGAACACCGCTGGTACCAGTCATCGGCAAGTCCACTCAGCTCCACGTCCTCCTGTACCACATCACTCCATGTCTTCTCTAGCACGTTCCGCGCCCGTTTAGCCCCCTCGATCCGGCCGAACAAAAGCTGTTTCGGCATGTGGTGGCTGGGCATGCGGGCTACATGACCCAGCCCACGCAGCCTTGCCTGCCGGAGGAGCTCACCGATGGGACCTTGCCCAGATCTTTCAATGATTTATGAGCTCCTCACACAATCCAGCCAGGTTAAACGCAGGATGGATCGTAGGCAGGCCAGCCTAAATGTTTCTAACCGGCGAAGATGTTCCATTAGGGGGGTCCACGTTTCGCAAGCGTAGAGAAGGGAGGGAATGACCGTGGCCGAGAAGACTTGAAGCTTAGTGCGGAGCGACAGACCAGGTAGTTTCCACACAGCGTTACGCAACCGATGAAAAGATATTGCCGCTCGACTGATTCGGAGTGAGACCTCTGCTGTTAAACTGGAGCCGGTCATAAGCACACTGCCCAGGTATGGGAAACTCTCCACTCTCTCCACAACTGCCCCATCACCGATTGGGAGTTGTGGGGGTGGAGTGTCCGATGGTACAAAATACCCAGGCAGGTGCTTAGTTTTGGTGGGGCTGATGGTAAGGCCCCACCTCTTAGTGGCACGCTCCAGTCTCAGCAGCAGCGTCTCCAACTCCTCCTCTGAATGAGCAGCTATTACCAAATCATCAGCATACATAACGTGGTTGAGCAATAGGGAGCCATCCCTTGACCGCACCCGGGCATCGATCAGCCTCCCATTATATCTGTACCAAATGGAGATTCCCCCGGTACAGCTTATGAAGGCTTCACGAACTACGTGGTCAAAATAGATGTTAAATAATGTGGGAGCCAGAGGACATCCCTGTCGCACCCCAAGGTGTACAGGGAATGGCTCTGACTCCCGGCCACGTAGTTTTACCCGGGCCCGCTCGCCATCATGAAGGTCCTTAATGATCGTGAGCAGGGGGTCAGGGACTCAAAAAGCACGAAGAACAACCCAGAGCCCAGGCCTACTGATGGTATCATAGGCCTTGACCAGGTCAATAAAGCAGAGATGTAGGTCTTGTTGGAATTCCCTACACCTCTGCTGTAGCAGACGGACAGAAAATATGGCATCTGTGCAGGACCGCCCTTTCCTGAAACCGCATTGGAGCTCTGCAAGCCTCTCCTCAGCGTGCCTGGCAAGGCGATGTTGAATAATCCTTGCCAGGACCTTTCCCGGCACACTGAGGAGTGAGATGCCCCTGTAGTTGTTACAGTCTGTGCGGTCCTCCTTCTTAAAGAAGGGGACCACCAGGGCATCCTTCCAATCCTGCGGAACCCATCCAGTGGTCCAGACTATTGTTATGATGTCATATAGGGCAGTCTGTGCACAAACGCCACCCTCCCTCAGTATTTCGCTTGGGAGATCATCTCTGCCCGCTGCCTTTCCTGGTCTCAGACTCCGGATCGCCTTCAGTACTTCCTCAACAGATGGCACCTCAGCCAGCCACTCACAGGGGGTGACTTCCTCCAATATTTGAGGCACCGCAGCCTCAGCGGGGTCATCCTCACTTTGTGCCACGATGTTTTCCTGGCTGAGGGATTTTCCCTCCCCCAGGACCTCACAGAAATGCTCAGCAAATCTTCAAACCTGTTCCTGGGGGTCGGAGAATGGATCACCGTTTTTTCCCCTGATGATGGTAATAGGTGTGGCGCTGCAGGTTACTTTTTTGATGGAGTTAAATAGAGATTTGTGATCGCGGGCCACTGAGGCAGACTCCATCTCCTCAGCAATCCGTGACCACCACTCATCCTTGTAGCGCCTCACGGCTCTCCGAACCTCCGAGCGACGGCTGTAGTAAGCCTCCTCTAGAATTGCAGTAAGCCTCCTCATTCTCTGACGTGGGATTCTGTAGCCGATGACAGTGGGCCTGTCGCTTTTTCTCAACCATCTTGAACACCTCCTCTGTCAGCCAGGGTCTCTGGGGAGGTCTGGACCGTGTACCCAAAGCAGCCATTGCAGCTGCATGAGTCACAGTCCTAAACCTCGCCCATTTACCCTCGACATCAGGAGGAGTCGGGGACGATGCCAATCCCAGGCGCAAGCGATGATGAAATTCTCGCTTGCAACTTTCATCAGATAACTGAGACCAGGCCACTTTAGGTCGGAATGGGGTCCTGGGTGTACACCCACCACCGGAGTGGAAGAATGGCAGGCGCATCTTACAGATGACTAGTCGATGGTCAGAGGGCAATTCAGCTCCACGGTAGGTCCTGGTGTCAAGGACATGGGCTCGCATCCGCTGGTCCGTCACTATGTAGTCCAGCAGATGTTCTTGCTTAGACCCGGCATGCATCCATGATTTTGTGTGGATGCGCCGATGCCGGAACAGCGTGTTGGTAATTACAAGCCCATGGGCTGCACAAAAATCTAGCAGCCTCCTACCGTTGTTATTGAGCTGATCTGTCCCATGCTCTCCAATCACTCCAGACCAGGTGCCAGCATCATGACCAACTCAGGCATTGAAGTCACCCAACAAGATGACTCTATCCCGAGGGGCCACTTTAGCTAGCACCTGTGACAGGAGTTCATAGAAGGCATCTGATTCATCGGCCTTGCCTGCATCTCTCCACTGATGTTCGTTATCAGTGGGGGCATAAGTAACCACGACCACCACTCCCCGCCTCCGGTTGATGGGAAGGCGAGCCCAAAGTAGCCTGGGGCTTACAGCTTCCCACACCTCACCGCCACGCTCCCACGCCCCCTTCATTCTTTTGTTCAAAAGAAGAGCCACACCCTGTTGTTTGGCAGTCTGCTGCCCCGAGTAGAGGACTGTCCACCCCTCATGGTGGCAGGAGCCAGAACCGGTCCACCAGACCTCCTGAATGCCACAGAGATCCAGGCGGTACCGGTCCAGCTCCCGACAGAGGAGTGGCAGCCTCTCCTCCGCAGTGAGCGTTCGAACATTCCACGTGGCCACCCGTAGTGGCTTTTCGTTGTTTCTGGAGGAGCCCCGAGGGTAGAGATTCAATCTCCTGGCTCCAGCCAATTGGGGTTTGGCCAGGAGACGTCATAGACGCCTGGCCCCCCGGGGCCTCCGGCACAAGCTTAGTTGTTACATATTTCAGTTTAATTCGTGGTTTCGTGGTAATTAATTGAAGGTGAAGGGGTTACCAGCCCCTCGCACCCGTCCAGAGCCCCCGTTTAGCCCCTGTGGTGGACACATATGCCATGAGGGGAGGAGCCAATCAAAATTGGATCTCCCCCCACAGCGCTGTCCACGACAGAGTTGCCCGTCCGGCACCGCGAGGAGGTAGGGGGTTGTTTTGCCGGACTACACACACGCTCACCCACTCACCCACACGCTCACCCACACGCTCATCCACTCACCCACACGCTCACCCACACGCTCACCCACCCGCTCACCCACTCACCCACACGCTCACCCACTCACCCACATGCTCACCCACACACTCACCCACTCACCCACACGCTCACCCACACGCTCATCCACTCACCCACACGCTCACCCACACGCTCACCCACACGCTCACCCACCCGCTCACCCACTCACCCACATGCTCACCCACTCACCCACACGCTCACCCACACGCTCACCCACTCACCCACACGCTCACCCACACGCTCACCCACTCACCCACACACGCTCACCCACACGCTCACCCACACACTCACCCACACGCTCACCCGCGTGTCCACGTGTGTCCCAGGGCGCCTGGGGGTCCGTCTAAGCGGAGCGGCCACCGCATGGCTGCCTTCAAGCGCCAACTCGTGCTGTTCGGAGGATTCCACGAATCGTCGCGGTGGGAGGGGCGGGGGGGTGCCGCTGACGTGTGTGTGTGTGTGTGTACCACGTGTACTATAATGACGTGTGTGTGTGTACCACGTGTACTATAATGACGTGTGTGTGTGTGTACCACGTGTACTATAATGACGTGTGTGTGTGTGTACCACGTGTACTATAATGACGTGTGTGTGTGTGTGTACCACGTGTCCTATAATGACGTGTGTGTGTGTGTGTACCACGTGTCCTATAATGACGTGTGTGTGTGTACCACGTGTCCTATAATGACGTGTGTGTGTGTGTACCACGTGTCCTATAATGACGTGTGTGTGTGTGTGTACCACGTGTCCTATAATGACGTGTGTGTGTACTATAATGACTGTGTGTGTGTACCACGTGTACTATAATGACGTGTGTGTGTGTGTACCACGTGTCCTATAATGACGTGTGTGTGTGTGTGTACCACGTGTCCTATAATGACGTGTGTGTGTACTATAATGACTGTGTGTGTACCACGTGTACTATAATGACGTGTGTGTGTGTGTGTACCACGTGTACTATAATGACGTGTGTGTGTACCACGTGTCCTATAATGACGTGTGTGTGTACTATAATGACTGTGTGTGTGTACCACGTGTACTATAATGACGTGTGTGTGTGTACCACGTGTACTATAATGACGTGTGTGTGTGTACCACGTGTACTATAATGACGTGTGTGTGTGTACCACGTGTCCTATAATGACGTGTGTGTGTGTGTACCACATGTACTACAATGACGTGTGTGTGTGTACCACGTGTACTATAACGAGGTGTATGTACTATAACGAGGTGTGTGTGTGTAGGGACTACGTGTACTATAACGAGGTGTATGTACTATAACGAGGTGTGTGTGTGTAGGGACTACGTGTACTATAACGAGGTGTGTGTGTAGGGACTACGTGTACTATAACGAGGTGTATGTACTATAACGAGGTGTGTGTGTGTAGGGACTACGTGTACTATAACGAGGTGTGTGTGTAGGGACTACGTGTACTATAACGAGGTGTATGTACTATAACGAGGTGTGTGTGTGTAGGGACTATGTGTACTATAATGACGTGTGTGTACTATAACGAGGTGTGTGTGTGTACTATAATGACGTGTGTGTGTGTGTACCACGTGTACTATAACGAGGTGTGTGTGTGTGTGTGTACTATAACGACGTGTGTGTGTACTATAATGACGTGTGTGTGTACTATAACGAGGTGTGTGTGTGTAGGGACTACGTGTACTATAATGACGTGTGTGTACTATAATGACGTGTGTGTGTACTATAATGACGTGTGTGTGTACTATAATGACGTGTGTGTGTACTATAATGACGTGTGTGTACTATAACGAGGTGTGTGTGTACCACGTGTACTATAACGAGGTGTGTGTATGTGTGTGTAGGGACCACGTGTACTATAATGACGTGTGTGTACTATAACGAGGTGTGTGTGTATACTATAATGACGTGTGTGTGTGTGTGTACTATAATAACGTGTGTGTGTGTACTATAATGACGTGTGTGTACTATAACGAGGTGTGTGTAGGGACTACGTGTACTATAACGAGGTGTGTGTGTACTATAACGAGGTGTGTGTACTATAACGAGGTGTGTGTAGGGACTACGTGTACTATAACGAGGTGTGTATTATGTGTGTGTGTACCACGTGTACTATAACGAGGTGTGTGTGTGTGTGTGTGTAGGGACTACGTGTACTATAACGAGGTGTGTGTGTGTAGGGACTACGTGTACTATAACGAGGTGTGTGTGTACTATAACGAGGTGTATGTGTAGGGACTACGTGTACTATAACGAGGTGTGTGTGTGTACTATAACGAGGTGTGTGTGTGTGTAGGGACTACGTGTACTATAACGAGGTGTGTGTGTACTATAACGAGGTGTGTGTGTGTAGGGACTACGTGTACTATAACGAGGTGTGTGTGTAGGGACTACGTGTACTATAACGAGGTGTGTGTGTGTACGGTAACGAGGTGTGTGTGTACTATAACGAGGTGTGTGTGTAGGGACTACGTGTACTATAACGAGGTGTGTGTGTGTACTATAACGAGGTGTGTGTAGGGACTATGTGTACTATAACGAGGTGTGTGTGTAGGGACTATGTGTACTATAACGAGGTGTGTGTGTAGGGACTACGTGTACTATAACGAGGTGTGTGTGTGTACTATAACGAGGTGTGTGTGTAGGGACTACGTGTACTATAACGAGGTGTGTGTGTGTACCACGTGTACTATAACGAGGTGTGTGTGTAGGGACTACGTGTACTATAACGAGGTGTGTGTGTGTAGGGACTACGTGTACTATAACGAGGTGTGTGTATGTGTGTGTGTAGGGACTACGTGTACTATAACGAGGTGTGTGTGTACTATAACGAGGTGTGTGTGTGTAGGGACTACGTGTACTATAACGAGGTGTGTGTGTGTGTAGGGACTACGTGTACTATAACGAGATGTGTGTGTGTGTGTGTGTAGAGACTACGTGTACTATAACGAGGTGTGTGTATGTGTGTGTGTGTGTAGGGACTACGTGTACTATAACGAGGTGTGTGTGTGTACTATAACGAGGTGTGTATGTACTATAACGAGGTGTGTGTGTGTAGGGACTACGTGTACTATAACGAGGTGTATGTGTGTGTGTGTGTAGGGACTACGTGTACTATAACGAGGTGTATGTGTGTGTGTGTGTAGGGACTACGTGTACTATAACGAGGTGTGTGTGTGTGTAGGGACTACGTGTACTATAACGAGATGTGTGTGTGTGTGTGTAGGGACTACGTGTACTATAACGAGATGTGTGTGTGTGTAGGGACTACGTGTACTATAACGAGGTGTGTGTGTAGGGACTACGTGTACTATAACGAGGTGTGTGTGTGTGTAGGGACTACGTGTACTATAACGAGGTGTATGTACTATAACGAGGTGTGTGTGTGTGTGTAGGGACTACGTGTACTATAACGAGGTGTGTGTGTGTGTGTAGGGACTACGTGTACTATAACGAGATGTGTGTGTGTGTGTGTAGGGACTACGTGTACTATAACGAGATGTGTGTGTGTGTGTAGGGACTACGTGTACTATAACGACGTGCACGTGTTCGACTTGGACTCGCTCACCTGGCTCCGGCCGCTCGTCTCCGGCACTCCGCCGTGCCCACGCTCCGCTTGCCAGATGTGGTGGGCCACTCCGCCGTCAGCCAGCAGCGGAGCTGCGGCCGCCAGCCCGCCCGGCCTGCTAGTCTACGGAGGGTACAGCAAGATGGTGCGTGGGCGGTGACGTGCGGAGTCTGTCGGGGAGCGGTGGGGGGGGGGAGATGTCGTCACCCGTTTAGACCACCGCCATCGCCACCAACAACAACACCGCAACCACCGCCGCCAACACCACAACCACCACCACGGCCACCACCAGCAACACCGTCGCCACCGCCGCCACCGCCACCACCACCATGGCCACCACCACCACCGTCACCACCACCACCACCACCACCGTCACCACCACCATCACCACCACCACCACCACCACCGTCACCACCACCGTCACCACCACCACCACCATCATCACCACCACCACCGTCACCACCACCACCATCATCACCACCACCACCGTCACCACCACCACCACCGTCACCACCACCACCACCACCGTCACCACCATCACCACCACCACCACCACCGTCACCACTATCACCACCACCACCGTCACCACCACCACCACCGTCACCACCACCGTCACCACCACCATCATCACCACCACCACCACGACCATCGTCACCACCACCGTCACCACCACCACCACCACCATCGTCACCACCACCGTCACCACCACCACCACCGCCACCGCCACCACCACCACCGCCACCGTCACCACCACCACCACCGCCACCCAATCCAGACTCTCCGCGTCACGTCAACAACAGTCGCCCTGATGGGTAACTTGGAGCTGAGCTCACTGAGGGTCACGGTCGGCACTGCCATGCCACGGACCGCGGCAGTGTGTGTGTGTGTGTGTCACTGTGTGTGTCACTGTGTGTGTGTGTGTCACTGTGTGTGACGTCACTGTGTGTGTGTCACTGTGTGTCACTGTGTGTGACGTCACGTGTGTGTGTGTGTGTGTAGAGAGTGAAGCGTGATGTGGACAAAGGCGTGGTGCACACAGACATGTTCCTGTTGAGCCCTGACTACAAGCAAGGTGCTGACACACACAGTGACACACACAGTGACACACACACAGTGACACACACAGTGACACACACAGTGACACACACACAGTGACACACACAGTGACACACACAGTGACACACACACACAGTGACACACACAGTGATACACACACACAGTGACACACACAGTGATACACACACACAGTGACACACACACAGTGATACACACACACAGTGACACACACACAGTGACACACACACAGTGACACACACACAGTGATACACACACACAGTGACACACACAGTGACACACACAGTGACACACACAGTGACACACACACACAGACATGTTCCTGTTGAGCCCTGACTACAAGCAAGGTGCTGACACACACAGTGACACACACAGTGACACACACAGTGACACACACAGTGACACACAGTGACACACACAGTGACACACACACAGTGACACACAGTGACACACACAGTGACACACACAGTGACACACACACACAGACATGTTCCTGTTGAGCCCTGACTACAAGCAAGGTGCTGACACACACAGTGACACACACAGTGACACACACAGTGACACACACAGTGACACACAGTGACACACACAGTGACACACACACAGTGACACACAGTGACACACACAGTGACACACACAGTGACACACACACACAGACATGTTCCTGTTGAGCCCTGACTACAAGCAAGGTGCTGACACACACAGTGACACACACAGTGACACACACAGTGACACACACAGTGACACACACACACAGTGACACACACACACAGTGACACACACACACACACAGTGACACACACAGTGACACACACACAGACATGTTCCTGTTGAGCCCTGACTACAAGCAAGGTGCTGACACACACAGTGACACACACAGTGACACACACACACAGTGACACACACAGTGACACACAGAGTGACACAGATTGACACACACAGTGACACACACAGTGACACACACAGTGACACACAGTGACACACACAGTGACACACACACAGTGACACACACAGTGACACACACAGTGACACACACACACAGACATGTTCCTGTTGAGCCCTGACTACAAGCAAGGTGCTGACACACACAGTGACACACACAGTGACACACACAGTGACACACACACAGTGACACACACAGTGACACACACAGTGACACACACACAGTGACACACACAGTGACACACACAGTGACACACACACACACAGTGACACACACAGTGATACACACACACAGTGACACACACAGTGACACACACACAGTGACACACACACAGTGATACACACACACAGTGACACACACACAGTGATACACACACACAGTGACACACACACAGTGATACACACACAGACATGTTCCTGTTGAGCCCTGACTACAAGCAAGGTGCTGACACACACAGTGACACACACAGTGACACACACAGTGACACACACAGTGACACACACACAGACATGTTCCTGTTGAGCCCTGACTACAAGCAAGGTGCTGACACACACAGTGACACACACAGTGACACACACAGTGACACACACACAGTGACACACACAGTGACACACAGTGACACACACAGTGACACACACAGTGACACACACACACAGACATGTTCCTGTTGAGCCCTGACTACAAGCAAGCTGCTGACACACACAGTGACACACACAGTGGCACACAGTGACACACACAGTGACACACACACAGTGACACACACAGTGACACACACAGTGACACACACACACAGACATGTTCCTGTTGAGCCCTGACTACAAGCAAGGTGCTGACACACACAGTGACACACACAGTGACAACAACAACAACCGCCATTCGCCACTAAGTGGCGGTGACGTCACCACGACGCTTGTGCCAGGCTATGTGCACCCTGAGGCCACGTGAAGTGTCGAACGCCCGCTGGCAGTAGGTCACGGGGCAGACCCAGGTGCCACGGGTCGACTGACTGAGATGACTGGCTGATGCACCACCTGTGCCCCCTACTGTGCCAACCTGCTGTGCTTTAGCCACCCGGCGCTCCGCTCGCTGTTGTGAGCGTCGCTCCTCCGCCCTCCGTTGTTGTTGGAGGGCGACTGCCTCCAACTGCCCAGTAGCATCCTTCACGAGCCTCCTCCACAGAGGCCGATCTTGACACCGCTGGTACCAGTCATCGGCAAGTCCACTCAGCTCCACGTCCTCCTGTACCACATCACTCCATCTCTTCTCTAGCCCGTGCCGCGCCTGCTTAGCCCCCTCAATCCGGCCAAACAAAAGCTGTTTCGGCATGCGGTGGCTGGGCATGCGGGCTACATGACCCAGCCATCGCAGCCTTGCCTGCCGGAGGAGCTCACCGATGGGACCCTGCCCAGATCTTTCAAGGATTTGTGAGCTCCTCACACAATCCAGTCTGGTTAAACCCAGGATGGATCGTAGGCAGGCCAGCCTAAATGTTTCTAACCGGCGAAGATGTTCCATTAGGGGGGTCCACGTTTCGCAAGCGTAGAGAAGGGAGGGAATGACCGTGGCCGAGAAGACCTGATGCTTAGTGCGGAGCGACAGACCAGGTAGCTTCCACACAGCGTTACGCAACCGATGAAAAGATATTGCCGCTCGACTGATTCGGAGTGAGACCTCTGCTGTTAAACTGGAGCCAGTCATAAGCACACTGCCCAGGTATGGGAAACTCTCCACTCTCTCCACAACTGCCCCATCACCGATTGGGAGTTGTGGGGGTGGAGTGTCCGATGGTACAAAATACCCAGGCAGGTGCTTAGTTTTGGTGGGGCTGATGGTAAGGCCCCACCTCTTAGTGGCACGCTCCAGTCTCAGCAGCAGCGTCTCCAACTCCTCCTCTGACTGAGCAGCTATTACCAAGTCATCAGCATACATAACGTGGTTGAGCAATAGGGAGCCATCCCTTGACCGCACCCGGGCATCGATTAGCCTCCCATTATATCTGTACCATATGGAGATTCCCCCGGTACAGCTATTGAAGGCTTCACGAACTACGTGGTCAAAATAGATGTTAAATAATGTGGGAGCCAGAGGACATCCCTGTCGCACCCCAAGGTGTACAGGGAATGGCTCTGACTCCCGGCCACGTAGTTTTACCCGGGCCCGCTCACCATCATGAAGGTCCTTAATGATCGTGAGCAGAGGGTCAGGTACTCCAAAAGCACGAAGAACGACCCAGAGCCCAGGCCTAGTGATGGTATCATAGGCCTTAACCAGGTCAATAAAGCAGAGATGTAGGTCTTGTTGGAATTCCCTACACCTCTGCTGTAGCAGACGGACAGAAAATATGGCATCTGTGCAGGACCGCCCTTTCCTGAAACCGCATTGGGGCTCCGCAAGCCTCTCCTCAGCGTGCCTGGCAAGGCGATGCTGAATAATCCTTGCCAGGACCTTTCCCGGCACACTGAGGAGTGAGATGCCCCTGTAGTTGTTACAGTCTGTGCGGTCCCCCTTCTTAAAAAGGGGGACCACCAGGGCATCCTTCCAATCCTGCGGAACCCGTCCAGTGGTCCAGACTGTTGTTATGATGTCATATAGGGCAGTCTGTGCACAAACGCCACCCTCCCTCAGCATTTCGCTTGGGAGATCATCTCTGCCCGCTGCCTTTCCTGGTCTCAGACTCCGGATCGCCTTGAATACTTCCTCAGCAGGTGGCACCTCAGCCAGCCACTCACAGGGGGTGACTTCATCCAATATTTGAGGCACCGCAGCCTCAGCAGGGTCATCCTCACTTTGTGCCACGATGTTTTCCTGGCTGAGGGATTTTCCCTCCCCCAGGACCTCACAGAAATGCTCAGCAAATCTGCTAACCTGTTCCTGGGGGTCGGAAATTGGATCACCGTTTTTTCCCCTAATGATGGTAATAGGTGTGGCGCTGCAGGTTACTTTTTTGATGGAGTTAAATAGAGATTTGTGATCACGGGCCACTGAGGCAGACTCCATCTCCTCAGCAACCCGCGACCACCACCCATCCTTGCAGCGCCTCACGGCTCTCCGAACCTCCGAGCGAAGGCTGCGGTAAGCCTCCTCATTCTCTGACGTGGGATTCTGTAGCCGATGACAGTGGGCATGTCGCTTTTTCTCAACCATCGTGAACAACTCTGTCATCCAGGGTGTCTGGGGAGGTCTGGACCGCGTACCCAAAGCAGCCATTGCAGCTGCATGAGTCACAGTCCTAAACCTCGCCCATTTACCCTCGACATTAGGAGGAGTCGGGGACGATGCCAATCCCAGCCGCAAGCGATGATGAAATTCTCGCTTGCAACTTTCATCAGATAACTGAGACCAGGCCACTTTAGGTTGGAATGGGGTCCTGGGTGTACACCCACCACCGGAGTGGAAGAATGGCAGGCGCATCTTACAGATGACTAGTCGATGGTCAGAGGGCAGATCAGCTCCACGGTAGGTCCTGGTGTCAAGGACATGGGCTCGCATTCGCTGGTCCGTCACTGTAGTCCAGCAGATGTTCTTGCTTGGACCCGGCATGCATCCATGATGTTGTGTGGATGCGCCGATGCCGGAACAGCGTGTTGGTAATTACAAGCCCATGGGCTGCACAAAAATCTAGCAGCCTCCTACCGTTGTTATTGAGCTGATCTGGCCCATGCCCTCCAATCACTCCAGACCAGGTGCCAGTATCATGACCAACTCGGGCATTGAAGTCACCCAACATGATGACTCTATCCCGAGGGGCCACTTTAGCCAGCACCCGTGACAGGAGGTCATAGAAGGCATCTGATTCATCGGCTTTGCCTGCATCCCTCCACGGATGTTCATCTTCGGTGGGGGCATAAGTAACCACGACCACCATTCCTCGCCTCCGGTTGATGGGAAGGCGAGCCCAAAGTAGCCTGGGGCTTACAGCTTCCCACACCTCACCGCCACGCTCCCACGCCCCCTTCATTCTTTTGTTCAAAAGAAGAGCCACACCCTGTTGTTTGGCAGTCTGCTGCCCCGAGTAGAGGACTGTCCACCCCTCATGGTGGCAGGAGCCAGAGCCGGTCCACCGGACCTCCTGAATGCCGCATAGATCCAGGCGGTACCGGTCCAGCTCCCGACAGAGGAGTGGCAGCCTCTCCTCTGCAGTGAGCGTTCGAACATTCCACGTGGCCAACCGTAGTGGCTTTTCGTTGTTTCTGGAGTAGCCCCGAGGGTAGGTATTCAATCTCCTGGCTCCGCCAATTGGGGTTTGGCCAGGAGACGTCATAGACGCCTGGCCCCCCGGGGCCTCCGGCACAAGCTTAGTTGTCACACAGTGACACACACACAGTGACACACACAGTGACACACAGTGACACACACAGTGACACACACAGTGACACACACACACAGACATGTTCCTGTTGAGCCCTGACTACAAGCAAGGTGCTGACACACACAGTGACACACACAGTGACACACACAGTGACACACACAGTGACACACAGTGACACACACAGTGACACACACACACAGTGACACACACAGTGACACACACACAGTGACACACACAGTGACACACAGTGACACAGTGACACACACACACAGTGACACACACACACAGTGACACACACAGTGACACACACACAGTGACACACACAGTGACACACACACACAGTGACACACACACAGTGACACACACAGTGACACACACACAGACATGTTCCTGTTGAGCCCTGACTACAAGCAAGGTGCTGACACACACAGTGACACACACAGTGACACACACAGTGACACACACAGTGACACACACAGTGACACACACACAGTGACACACACAGTGACACACACAGTGACACACACACACACACAGACATGTTCCTGTTGAGCCCTGACCACAAGCAAGGTGCTGACACACACAGTGACACACACAGTGACACACACACACAGTGACACACACAGTGACACACAGTGACACACACAGTGACACACACACAGTGACACACACAGTGACACACACACAGTGACACACAGTGACACACACACACATTGACACACAGACACAGTGACACACACAGTGACACACACACAGTGACACACACAGTGACACACACAGTGACACACAGTGACACACACACACAGTGACACACACACACAGACATGTTCCTGTTGAGCCCTGACCACAAGCAAGGTGCTGACACACACAGTGACACACACAGTGACACACACAGTGACACACACACACAGTGACACACACAGTGACACACACAGTGACACACACACAGTGACACACACACACACACAGTGACACACACACACAGTGACACACACAGTGCCACACACACACAATGACACACACAGTGACACACACAGTGACACACACACACACACACAGACACGCACACAGACACGCACACACACGACACACACACACGCACACACACGACACAGAGACACACACACACACACGATGTGTGACTATAAACAAACTCCCCTTCCTTACCCATGATCCTTTGCTGCTGCCGCCCCCCCGTTGTATATATTGGTTGTGAAAATTTTGTTGAAAATAATCAAAATTAAATGGAATTAGAAGTTTACGTAATTATCCGAAATTATGTTAATCGATGCAATTATGCGCATAAATTACGCTAATTCGAGATAAATTTTTACTTGTTTATGCGAGTGGGTATGATGATGCTAATGCAGGCCATTATGATAATCAGGCCCCGCCTTGCTGACGAGGGTCGGATTATCAATCGGGATCATACAATTAATCGTAGGAAGTTATGCCGGTGTGATGCAGGCATGCCAGAGTAACTCGGCTTCGTTTCCCAGGTTCGTATTAACGCTCGGTATAGTACAATTACCCTCGCTTTAACATTTGCTGTACAAATTTCAAATCTCAACGCAGGATACAGTTCTCGTGAATGAGGTGATTACGCATGAACTCGCGAAGAAACACGCGGGCACTTCGGCTTTGAGCAACTTTATTCCAAGCGAAACCTTGACTTTATAACGCGCAAACTCTCACGCTTGGAATTGTCAACACGGTGCCAACGCAGTAGCCATCAACGATGGCGTTGTTTCACTCTGGCAACTGCACCCGCGATCAATTCCACCGCGTAACGCGAGCTCAGTTGGCGGGAGGAAGAGAATCGTTAAAACAAACGCATGCACGCTATTCTACACAAAAAACCTTAACACTCTAATATGCAAATTCGCATACTTGAAATTGTCCACACGGTACTCCCGGATGCTCATTCATTGATCCGTATGCAACCCTCAATGCAATTCTTGTCACGTTGTTAACAGGTTAGCAGGACAATTGATGATTATGCAGGGTAACCCGAGCATGTACGGCAATTAGGAACGAAAGGTCCTTAAAATTATTCGACGATATTCATGCTAAAAGGCACTCAAACAATTATTATTCCCAAAGGCACGAATATACGTCAATGGATTCATCGGCAAGATTATGCCGATGAATCCATTGACGAATGACCGAGATACTCCTGAGTGACCGTATCCGCGTAACTCGATGGGCAGCAAAATGTTCTCCACGATCAGTTGATCTTCTCATGCACTTTGTAATTAGTCTTAATATCGTGTGGGTGCGGTGGGTTGCCTCTTTGGTAAATTCTCGCAGTGAGCAGGCGACGTTAGCGTCATGGGTTTGTGAAGGTGGGGGGAGGGGCATGCGAGCAACGGCTGGTTCCCTCTTATCGCTCGGCGTTGGACGTCGACTGAAGGTTCTCTCCGCCGCTGGATGAGGAGCCGCGCCGCACGCGCTCTCTCCGTGGCGATCACGCTCTGGTTCGCCGACCCTTTTGCTCACGGGCGGCTGGCCAGGCTCTTTCCGCCGCTGGATGAGCCAAGTCGGCACACGCTTGGCCGCTGCTTCGCTGGCAGCCGATGTCGAATCAAAGTCCTTGAGCGGCACTTCGCCTTTCAGCTCTGAACTCGCACTCGGTGGCACATCGCCACTCTGCCAGCCTCGCCATCCTGGGTCGATGGCGGGGCCCGTGGGAGCCTGCCGCTCGCCGCCCCCTGCTGTGCGTGTCGTGCCGCTGTTTTATCCGGAAAAATCTCCCCCCCTCTGCGCGTCGCTTGCGATCTTTGATCATTAAGTCCAGCGCAGTGTGTACAGATGGCCCCCGCGATAATTAATTTCCCTCGCTCTGGTGTTCAATTCCTGCTCTCCCGCGCTGCGGGAAGACAAAGGCGGCCGGGAGGCTCCTTCCCATGGAGCACAGTCTATCGTGGCTGTGTAAGCCCGTCCCATTCCGCCTCATTCCTTCTCGATAACCCGTGATGTAACATTGCATCGTTATTATCTGTTTCTGTCCCCAAGATTTGCGATTTAACATTGTATTAACTTTTGCTCCTCGCCTGTGTCCGGGCTATTATGCACGAGTTATCATTTCTGACTGCCAGAACTATTCTTGAGGCTTCGGTCATTTAGTATCGAATGAATAAATGGGTAATGATTCACTGATTCAGATTGCGGCCTGGTTTTTAATTGGAGTGAGTGCGAGGCTCGATTAATGTTAGCTTATTCTTGTTGTTGAATTTCGAACCTTGACCGTTGTTTCGATAGCAAATGAGAGGGCAATTGTTTAAACTCGCTTGTCCCTGGCGTCGGTTTGTCTACCCGCTCCCGGAGGAAGTTTTTGATGCCCGGAATTTCCCTGCCGCTTCGCGAGTGGTTCCTTGGTTTATTACCTTTCGTGGGTCATCTCCTGGCGGTCTGTTGCTTGTGTGTCCCCCCTTTTACCCCGGAATTTCTAGTTTCATGGCCCTGTTACGACCTCCAGCCGCTGTTTGCTGGTCCTTGTCGTGGCGGGTGTTAGTTATTTGTTTATATTTAAAACAATTACCGGCAAGTGTTATTAATTTTGGAAAAGGCCTATAGATACAACACCTACCCCCCCCCCCCCCTGTAAACAAACTCCCCTTCCTTACCCATGATGCTTTGCTGCTGCCGCCACCCCCCCATAAACAAACTCCCCTTCCTTACCCATGATGCTTTGCTGCTGCCGCCACCCCCCCATAAACAAACTCCCCATTCCTTACCCATGATGCTTTGCTGCTGCCGCCACCCCCCCCATAAACAAACTCCCCTTCCTTACCCATGATCCTTTGCTCCTGCCGCCACCCCCCCCTTCCTTACCCATGATCCTTTGCTGCTGCCGCCGCCCCCCCATAAACAAACTCCCCTTCCTTACCCATGATCCTTTGCTCCTGCCGCCACCCCCCCCCTTCCTTACCCATGATCCTTTGCTGCTGCCGCCGCCCCCCCATAAACAAACTCTCCTTCCTTACCCATGATCCTTTGCTGCTGCCGCCACCCCCCCCCCCCATAAACAAACTCCCCTTCCTTACCCATGATCCTTTGCTGCTGCCGCCACCCCCCCCATAAACAAACTCCCCTTCCTTACCCATGATCCTTTGCTGCTGCCGCCACCCCCTTATAAACAAACTCCCCTTCCTTACCCATGATCCTTTGCTGCTGCCGCCGCCCCCCCTCCCCGGCGGCCCAGGCTCGTGGCGCTGGTCCCGCGTGAGCACCGTCGGCGCCCGCCCCAGCGCCCGCTCCGGCTTCACGGTGGCGCCGGGCGGCCCTGGCGGGCGGGCGCTGCTGTTTGGCGGCGTGAGGGACGACCAGGAGGGCGGTGACGAGCGGCTAGAGGGGGAGTTCCACGCGGACCTCCATGCCTACGACCACGCACGGCGGCGCTGGAGCCGCGTGCGCTTGGCGGGGCGCGGCGGCGGCGGTGGTGCCCGGCGCCAGCGGAGACGGAAAGGCGGTGCGGACGCCGGGCGGGACGGTGAGAGAGGTGGTGGTGGTGGTGGTTATGGAGGTGGTGGTGGAGGAGATGGTGGTGGTGGAGGAGGTGGTGATGGTGATGGTGGTGGTGATGGAGGATGGTGATGGAGGGTGGTGGTGGAGGTGGTGGTGATGATGGAGGTGGTTATGGAGGTGGTGATGGAGGGTGGTGGTGGTGATGGAGGGTGGTGGTGGAGGTGGTGATGATGGAGGTGGTTATGGAGGTGGTGGTGGAGGAGATGGTGGTGGTGGTGGTGATGGAGGGTGGTGGTGGTGATGGAGG